CAGTTCATCCTTCCTCTCATCTTGCCTCTACAGCCCAGCGCTGCCGGGGTCACACAGGGACCCTGTTGCAACAGGGACGCTGCAATGCAACAGCTTTAGCAACTTTTTAGCTCACATACGGGCTTAAAATAGGTGCCTAATAGTTCCCTTGTTCTAGGAAGCTACAGAAGTCCGCAGGGGCATCCAGCAAAGGGAGCACTCCCTCGTTCACCAGCAGTCACCTCGCTGACTGTCACCACCGAACAGCTCCTGCTTGGGGCAGGAGGTGACACACAGAGCACACAATCCGCCAAAACATCCTCAAAACCCTCATTTCTAAGGAAACCATTTAACACACTGCTTCTGCGAGGTCAGGAAATAAAAAAAAACAAAAAAACAACCAAACAAAAAACCCCACAAAACCCAAAAAACACAACAAAAAACACCCAACAACAACAACAACAAAAGCTTTAAAGGTCTTTACAAAGATTTCTTACTAGCACAGCATTACCCTTAAACAGAGCATCTTCATTGCCCAGCACCCCTGGCGCAGGGCAGCCTTCCTCCCCAAGGAGAGACCCCCCCCATCTCATGCCTCCCCCATCCAACCCAGGAGATTTCACTCACCTCCTGCTAAAAAGCACAAAGCAAACTTACATTTAGCAAACCCACCGCAGCCCCCCCTCCAACCTCCACCCACTTTGCTTTTGAGCCTCGAAAGCACAAGGACCTACAGCACAAAGCCACCCAGGAGCAAGCAGCACGTCCATTAATTAACAAATTACCCCAATCTGGGAAACACCAACCAGCTACAGAGCTCAGAGCTCACCCCCCCCACACACAAAGCAGAGCTCAGCTGAGCTCGATTTAAAGCCCAGGCAACAGCATGAGGGAAGGGTGGGGAGCTTAGAGAAGGGTGCGCTTGCACACGCACTTGCACACCCCATCTTGCAGGAGGCAGTTTGTTTCTGGGGCTTTTAGATTTTCGGATTCATCACGAGGAGCAGCTTGGCAAAGGGAGTTATTTCTGCTGGCAGATATCGACGCGTCCAAGTGCTGCTCAGTGCTGTGGAAAATGGTTTGCGTGGCTCCTCGCTGCCTCTTCGGCATTCGGGGGGGGTGCCAGGACAAGCTGCTTCCCTGCTCTGTGTGAGGGATGCACCAGGGCCGATGTTCCCTTCGGATCCAGCTGTTTTAGGAAAAATCATTATCGTCTTGCTGGGTGCAAGCTGTTGTCCCCCACTGGTGCCATACTGCAAATTTAAGCCCAGCTTGATCCACCTGCACTTATTTTACCCAAGCAAAAAGCTGCACAAACACCTCTGCCACCAGCTTGCGAGGGGTATTTGCTGTTCGGGACCTGCAGCCGCGCTTTGGGGAGGTGGCAAATCTTGAACCTGTTCCCAGTGTTGTTCGCACCCGGCTTTACGCAACAGGGAGAGGAAGTCCAAGCCCCCAGCCAGGGTGGATGAAGGAGCTGAAACCTCAGAAGCTGGAAAAAAAAAATAAAAATTTCTGATGGTTCCCTGAAGGACAAGGCCAGTTTTCCCTCCCGGACAACTTTGTACGTGCTTGATGTTACACCGGCCTGGGAACTCCGCTGGGAAACCTGTAGCGTAAGAGGTTCCTGTCCTTCTGGAAAACACGACAGGAAAAGGCAAGGTTTTCTCCAGCTGCCAGACACGAAGTGCTCTGAAAGGCTGATGATACACATGAAGGTATACGAGCGTCCCCGGGGATGGGAAGGAGGGAGCTTGCTGGAATAGCCCAGAATAGCACTGGCACCTTCCTGGGGACCCGCAAGCATTCATCAGCGGTCAAAAGCTCGCAATAATCTTTTGGGCTTTGCCAAGCAATAAATACATCTGTTCTCCCTCATACAGGTTTCTATCCTAGGATTGATTTGTTTGTTTTCGCCCTTTAATCTCTTCCAAAAGGAAGAAAAACATATCCTTTGGGTGAAATCCCCCCCCTGGCTCCCCAACGCTCAGCGGTCCGCACGTGTCGATACACACACACACGTCCCCTCCAGAGCCTGCTCTGGTCAAGACATCAGGCTGCATTTCAATTCTTTGCACATCAGCAACACAGGAGAAAAAAAAAAAAAAAAAAAAAAAAAAAAAAAAAAAAAAAAAAAAAAAAAAAAAAAGATTGCTGTTTTATCTCAACAGGAGCATGCAAAAGCATCGCCCTGTTTTTCCTAAAGGGGAAACTGAGACAGGAGGAAGGGATGTGCTCGCTCTTGGCCCTGCAGTGATCCTTGGCGTGATGCTACCAGTTTGGAGCAATTCGGGGATGGAGGGAGCGGGAAAGGATTTGCCAGGGTGGGCTGAGATGGCCCCTAACGCTGTCCCCACCAGCCAGGGCACCCGCCCCGCTGGGGCTCACCCTTTGGCAAATTCATAGCAACACCCCAAACCAGCCTGGCTGGAGGGGGGAAGATTGGAAGTGCCACTCCCAGCCAGCCTTCCCCAGCCCCGCAGGCTGCTCGCCCATCCCTCCGCCTGCATTTTTAGGCAATGCTGCCATCGAGTGGTCCAGGAGCATCCGGATGCGGGAGGAGCCACCGGCCTGGACCCCTCTGGGCTGCTCACCCAGGCAGCCCCTACTCCCAGAGCGGCTGGAAACGCAGAGGCCCGGGTTGAAACACATCTCCTTCATCCATCCTCGGGTTAAAAACCTCCGTCTCGCTTCAACAGCTGACCTGGGCTCGGGGACTAAAGATTTTTCAATCCCTCAGGCTTCCCTAAGGGCTTCCTCCGGTGTAAGAGCCTAAGAGCATCCTCCCTCCACACCGCTCAGCTCTGCAATTCAAACCCCAGTTTCTCCCAGTTTTCCGGGAGCCGCAGCTTTACCTGGAGCCGTTCATCCAGCTCAGCGCTTCTCTTCCACCTGTTTGGGAGGCTGCATCCCGAGAACACAATTTTTAGGAGCATCCTTCAGGAAACCAGAGGGATGCGCTCAGCTCTCCAAGGCGATTTTCCTCTTCGTTGGTGCATCCCGAGGGAAAACCAGCCCTCCTGGCAGGCAGCAACTCAGTTGTTTGGTTTGGGTTGGTTTTTTTTTTTTTGCCCACATTTGGCAAAAACCCCAACACTGGAGGAGTAAGTTAAAATCACCCCTGTCTGGTGGATTTTATAAACCTGGACTGTGGGAAGGTGCGAATCTCCGTTTGCAGTTTAATTTAGATTCCAACAGCTTATTCACGGGAGAAAAGACCCTTTTCACGGAGAAGGTTTCACCAGCCCCACAGGAACTGTTGTTTGCTGAGGGAGCGAAGGGGCACTAAAACGAAGCGTCCTGTTTGCAGGGGTAGGGAGCTGGTCACGCCGGAGGGGGAAGACCTTTCCCTTCTTTGAGATATCAAACATTGGCTTTGTTCCTCGGGGATGCAGATCACTCCCCGGCCGCAACGTAAAGCCGTTTGGAGAAATCCCATCGGAAAGCTTTAGAATATAGAATATGTAAATAGAATAGAATATATAAAATATATAAGCGTTACAACGAGCAGGTTTTAAGGTGCCGTGACTTTTTAGAGCACTTTTGGCCCAGA